GCTTAAGTGTGAACAGCCGCTTTCTACTATAAATGCTGAAAATGTATGACAACAAGAGCCAACAGCATTGTGTTCTGTTGCAGATTTTCATGATGGGAAGATAAAAATCACTACTCTGCCCGTCCAGTAACTCAGCCTATTTTTTTCTCAATACTAACATTCCAGCTACCACTAAAAACACAAGCTTTGTCTCCCTGCATCTTCAGCTGCATCACTTGCCTGCTGCCCTGATGGTATGAATGCAGGAGAATCTTACTATCTGCTCCTGAGAAGTGCAGAGTAAGGTACTCTGCATTCTGTTGAACTAGAAAGGCATAACCAGAGTACAATATTCAGCAGCCACATTATCTCCCACCCAGCTTTTTTTTTTTTTTTTTTTTTTTATTTTTTTCAAATGAGGCAGAAAAAAGAAAAATCAAAAGCCAAAAAGTGTAGGTGTAGTTACAGAGATTTTCCATATTGGGAACACTCTGCCCAGAAGAGCTCACAAGCAGAAACTGCTTTTTCACACTGTGACAGAGAACAACAGTCACCCTGCATTGATTATTCTGTAAAGATAATGCCGCACACACTTAAAAATGGATCACCATCCATTAAGAAAGAACTTTAGACTGACAGAGATGCAAGTTCACCAAACTCCTTCATCAAAAGATCAGAGAAGGCATCCATACGCCCAACTTAACAGCTTGGAAGCCCCTGTTAAAAAAATACAACCCCCCCCCCAACCCAAACCAGGGCCAAGTGTTCATGACAGATAATCTGATTAAGTTTGGTGGAGCTAATAAATGCTAAAAGGATTTGTTTTCCAAACATAGAAATCACTTTGTCCCTCCTGCATGTACTATCACTACCTTTTAAAATGGCACAAACTCTACAGCACTGCTTCTACATCTTTCAGGCTAGGGCCTGAAATATTTTTATCCCGTTTTCAGGGTTTGGCAGGGGTTTTTTTGGTTGCTATTTTTTGAAAGAGTTGAAAGCTTTGATAAAACTAGGAAGAAGCTTCTGCTTTGGCTCAATATTGTATTAGTAGCTGGAGGAATACACACGTAGGAGTCGTAGCCTAGGTATAAGAATTACTTCATTCAAGACAGACCTGGGCTGCTAGCTAGTCACCACAGCTCAGGTAGGGAGCCTGCTAGGCAGTCCAGCCTTCACTAAAGATTCAAAACTGCAGACAGGTCTATGCCCTTCGGATTTTAAAAAACACAGGAAACTTACAAAAGCCTGTTCTTATGTATTTTCCCGGGTAGTTAGAAAGATAAATGAAAGAATCCGTTTGCAATAGCTATCTTCTGAGGTGACCCATTCAACGTCTGAAAGGCCTTAACGGTCCCCTCTTCCCATGCCGAAAGCTGCCTCCCAGGCAGCACGGGAGATGCGGCTCTGGCTCTTGCTCCACAGGACCGAATTCCCCCAACTCGTGCCATGGCCCCACGCCGATGGCCCCCGCTGCACAGCTCAAGCAGTAACGCTCTCTGGCAGCGGATCCCAAATCACGGTTAGGCCGGGAATTAGAAGGCACCGCAGCTGCACCGCCCAAGAGCGGCAGTCAGGACGGATTTAACCGACACTGA